CTCTCCACTCGCACATTACCACTGCTTTTCCCGAACAAATTGCGCTTCTTGTTCAAGACGCAACCAAACTCAATAAGAGCATCGGCGAAGAGGTGGTCGAGTATGACCTGGAAGTTGTTCACATTCCTCCAGAAACACCTTTCGATCCTGTCTATATGGAAGACGCTTCAGGCAAAGCATCTGGGAAGGGAAAGAAGGATAGAGTGTTGTGTACAGTTGAGTTGGGATTGTTAAGGCTGGTCAAGAATGAGACGAACGGGAAGTGGGAGAATCGGGTGCTGGTCAAACCCAGAGTTCTCTTGCAGTCGGCTATTTGATTTTATGTTCCATGTGTACTCCATACCATTATGATTACTTATTTTCGTTATGAGAAAAAAAATTAGCCATTTGTGCGTAGCGAGAAAATGTACAAAGCAAAAGAGAGAAAGCTAGAAGAGGTCATTGTAACAAGCATAAGAATGTAGATCTGATGTAAAATGCAACGTAAGAAGAGATCCAAGTCTTGCAAAGAGAAAACAGAATTATAAAGCCTTAGCAGGGTCAAAGAATGCGACAAGCTGACCAACAGGGACCTTCCTGCCTTTCTCGACCTTGGGAGCAGTCGACTTCAACTTGTCCATAGTCTCCTTCCTCGCGGCCCTCCTTTGAATTAGAGGATCTACGAATTTACTTCCGGTCGAAGTAACACTGGACAAGCTGTTCAGGCTCTCTGAACTAGCGAAACGATCTTGAGAATGCGATCTCGGACGCAGAGGCTTTGTTGGAGACAACGGCGTCTGCAAAGTTGAGAAACCTGCATACGTAGACTGCGGGCGAACGCGAGAGGGGCGCTGTTGTTCGTTTGAACGGTTGTTCAATCTTGCAGCAGCTGACTTGCCAATCGTCTCACCACCCAAGGCATCGTCTTCTTCGTCAGAGGCAAGGTCGCGATTGTCAGAAAGTGCAGGGGATGTAGAAAGTGCTTGACTATACACCGAATGACGAGGAGGTGGGCTAGATATCCGAGAATTGGGGTTGGTTATGGGTGCACCTAGAGCGACTGTATATCGCTTCCTTGGTGTAGGGCTGGAACTTTCCTGCCTTGGAGGTGCGCTCACAGGCATCTTAGGAGCAGACAATTCTCCTAAATCGGACATGGAAGATGCAGCTGAAAAATTACCAGAGGAATACGACGAAGCGGATGACGGCTGAACGATGCCTAAACCGGCATTCCCAGAAGAGGAGGAAGGGAGACCAGGAATTGAGAGGGGTTGAGTACTGGCCACAGGACGCGGGGGAGGAGACGAGGGCGATGAAGCTCTGATCATGCTGCTCGTGGGTTCGGGAGAAGTATAATCACCAGTCGGGTAGGGACGGCGGGTACCGCCTGTTGGTGTCTTGTTGTGACCCATGGGCGGGCTTGTACTTTCCCTAGCAGTGGAGGCGACAACCTGATGACGGGAAGGTGTTACTGGGAAGCCATCCTCAAAAGAGCCAGTTTGGCTATGGACTGCAACGGAAGAAACTAGGCGGGCACCATCCTGGAGATGGCCTGACTGTTTGGTCGGTCCTGAAGAGAGATTCTTGGTGGCCAAATTCGCCATCTCCCGACCAAGCTCGCCAAAACGACCCTGAAGCTCTGCAATTTCCTCTCGAAGTTCGCGGATTTCTTCGTCACTGCGTGGTTTGGCATCTCCGTTCTGAGAAGCCGCGATAGAATTCTTCTCTTTCTCGTCCTCCTGGTCGACGAGCCATCTTTCGACGTCGTTCATGCGCTCCTCGAGGGCACGAACATGACCAACAGTCCACTTCTCGAGCTTTTCGAACCTTTTGGCAATGGTAAGAAGAGTAGAAGGGACATCGAGAGCACCGTCCGAATTGAACTGGGCATAAAGAGGTGTAGTTTCGCCAGGAGCACGAGCAGGCGACTGCCGCATGGGTGATGGGGTCATGTTGATCTGCATATTAGCGCCTGGCCGTACAGGGCTGGGAGAGGCAGACGATGGGATAGGCCGTCGGGGAGGTGTGCTAGGAGGACCTAGGTTCTGGAAAGAAGGGTCTATGAACTCCGTATTGAGCGGTTCGCCACTTTTCTTCTTAAGCTTCTTGACTTGCTTCTCCTTGGTCTTGTGATCCTGTATGACCTGCTGGGCTGGGGTGAGCGGCTCCTTCGTCGGCGTAAGTCGATTCTTGGCAGCCGTCCACCAAGTGAGCCCCTCTTTCTGGGAGCCAGATGGAGATGGCGGATCGGGTAACGACTGAGAACGAATGGGAGGTGGTGGCAGGGTCTTGGGTTCGTCAAGCATGGCCATGACACGATTCTGCACATGCTCTCGTGATTCAAAGTTCATGATACGCTCTGCCTCGCGTCGAGTCCTGTCCCTTTCGCGTTCTGCCTCGGCTTCAAGCTCAGCATCAGTTGGTAGTTGCGTTCTACTTGAAGTCATAGGCGATTGGGCTATCCCACCAACAAAACTGCCGACGCGTTGCGCGAACTGGGCAGCAAACTGGCTGACGGACGAAGAAGGAGATGGAGACCTTTCATGCCAACCAGCGTGAGGATCGTCGTCGTCGTCATCATCATCGCTTTCACTGTCCATATCCGGGTCAATTCCAGTGGCAGAGTTGGCAGTGTATCCATTTCTCAGGGGCGAAGGAGGACGTCCGCTGGGGCGCGGAGGACCTTCGGGCTGTTTCACAGTTAATCTTCAGTCTGATTAGCAAATATAGTGGGTAACTCACAAGAGACAACGAGCCAGCAGGCGCAGTCATTCTCCGAAGGTCCTTGCCAGTCGGGGTGGCCATCGTGCAGAGACGGTGGTTTAGGGACCAGTCTTGATGATGTTGGTTGAATTCCAAGCCACTCTCTCGGAAGCGCCCGATCAACACAATACTCTCACCAGAGATCTTGCTCCTCTTCCTTTGCTTTCAAAACTATAGAATAGGATGAGAATTAATTCTTTTGTTTGTTGAGCAGTTTATTGCGACGAGTTTCAAAATGACACTCACGTGACCAGCAAACATAACCATTCCCAAAGTATCCCACTTTGTAGATACCACTACTAGCCAGAGTCCATGATAGATTTCCAGTCGATCTGTGTTTTCCAATGCCACCCTCATTTCTGCTGCCTATTTGGCGATTCGATAGCAGCCACTGTCCCTGATTTTGTATAACTATCTCTTCAGCTGCAACAGATGATTATACATAGGTTCGCGAGCTTGGCCCGTAAAGTCCACCCTGAACCTGGAGGTAGGCGCTTGCTGACGTGGATTCCAAGTAGGACTGCGCAGTTTCCGGGTGATAATGAGAAACATTGTATGACCGTTCGAGTCCCAAGGAGTGGCGCGGGGTGAGGCAGTGTCCCGCAAGCTTCCCACTTAAGGCAGGCTGATGTAAGTGTTCTTTCCCTTCTTTCGAACCACCATCTACAATGGCCGACGGGACTCGTGCTCCTCCATCTCCTCCTAAATTCGCGTTTGCAACGAGAATCTATCGTCACAACCTTAGACCTGTGGTCATTAGTGTGCGCTGCATGACGCAAAACCTCGCCCCTCCTTGCTCATACCTCATTTCGTACAGCTTGCAGCATTGAGTGCTTTCTGGTCCCTCTTCTCGTTCGTCTGCCCTGTTTCAGTCGCCAAGATCGTTAACACTGAATCGCAACAGAGGTGTTAGCTTCTTCAGAGCTGTTTCCGAAGAAAGGTCCAATGGTCTGAAAGACCTTGTCCCAATTTCTATCGCCGTAGGAGCCATCTATATGGGTTCGCTAGTTGCTCTCTGACTTCCAGCCACCCTCTTGCTAACCTTTCTGCTAGCGGTTACTGGCATAGAGGTGCTTCCTTCTTTCTTCTGTCTTAGTAACCATGTTAACGTCCCCGACCCAAGATATTTGGTGTCTTCAGTTCTATAACGGTACATTTTTCTTACAATATCCCACTACCAGTCCTGAAGTCATTTCTAAATGTAGCGCAAAATTTCGCTGGTTCGAATCTATGCTCTACTTTCAGCTTTCACCACCGTCGCCGTCCTCGCCGGCGGACTTGTTCGTGTCGTCATTCACTTCACAAAGAAGGTACAAACTTCCTTACATCCCTTTTGATCTTTTGACTGATCATCCTCAAGAATGAACTCATTTCGCAATGTACCAACGATGCCAAGGAGAATGGCTTCGCCGTTTATCCATTTGGATTCTGGGGTCCCGTTCGAACGGACCGATTTGATGATGACGACGCAAGCCGCTGGTGCAATGATTCTTGGGACCACAATTCCTGGTCAGAAATTGTCTCGATGATCTTCACGACTCGTACGTTTCACATCTTTGAGTTCTATTGTCTTTGTCGCTTAATAGTGTCCCAAGTCATCGCCGGGTTCTGGACGCTGATCGTCTACAGCTACTACCGCCAGCTTCTAGACCCCTTCGAGTGTTGCTAATACCACCCGCATTATCGCTGTCGGTCAAAGCTACCCTAACCACTACAATCCCCCGTACGGTTATGGGTACAACATGCCTTATGCAGGTGGGCCTCCTCCTGGCGGACAATGGCAACCCCCTCCTGGCGCTCCTCCCTCTGGCCCGTGGCAACCTCCTGCAGGGAATCAGTTCGCGCCTCCTTCAGGTCCTCCTCCTGAATGGGAAGGTGGCTATACTCAGAGCAAGGATACGAAGGCCGACAATCCGTTTGAAGATTTTACAGAAATTCCTGAACATGAGAGGAAGGATAAAACTAAGCCTTAAGAGCGAGATTTGACTTGACCGACTTGTATTGTTGATTGTAAACTACGGATTTGTATCTAGTGTTTTGGAACCTTACTATGGACATTTTTCTATCTAATGTTGGTTATGCTGCGATTACTAAGTAAGACTCGACAAACGCTTGCCTAAAAGCATGTTAGTATACTAGAAGGTAAAGTAAGTCACACTCCAGCAAATGAGAAACAAAAACTCCGATGGAAAGATATTGAGCGAAAGAAGCGAAGAATCCGTTGCGACTTTATTTTGCTTTACCCCAAATCATATCTGGGGCTTATAGCACAGTGGTAGCGCGCATGCTTCGCATTTCGATGTTTGCATGAGGTCGGGAGTTCAATCCTCCCTGAGTCCAACCTTTTTCTTTGTTTTATAACAGAATCCCTCTCAACAACATCCGAGCCTATGTTGAACCAAACTATCACCATCCCCACCTTCGATATCTCTCAAACCCTTCTCTTCTCGCACACTCGGAGTCTGCTTTAATGTTTCAGAAATCATGTCCGACGCCCACTCCCGTCTAACTCAGCGTGCTCGTCTTGAGGAAGCTATTAAAACCCGGCAAGCCCTAGCTAAAGCGTATCTGGCCAAATTAGAAGCCGAATTAATTGACATCCGTGTTCAATGTAATTCTTGCACTGCCATATACCTTTTACCGGACGAACTACTTGCCTTTATCTTCCTCATTCACCGGGATTTGACGTTGGCTACTCTTAGCTTGCATATGCGGTCGCGTAGATTCATATCTTCTCGTCAATTGCATGGCCAATCAGAGCTGGCTTACTGCAACGATTTTGTGCCATGGATTGGACCTTCGCAGGTCTCTCGGAGGTGGAGAAGGGTGGCAATCCAATTTCCTGCCTTGTGGGACATATTCTACCTCCAAAGCCAACCTTGGACATTAGAGTTCCTTCGTCGCTCACAGCACACAAGCCTTCATCTTTCCCTCCCTCGACACGACGAAGATTGGGATAACGGCTTTCTCAGCCCTCTCCGACCTAGGCTGCCTCCATGGAAGGTAGTTGCTTTACAAGCAGCGGACCGGGTGGCTCGGCTTGCTATTTTCGCAGATAGCTTTTGCACGGAACTTACGCCCAACCCGGAAGCGTTTCCAAACCTTCATCACTTAACAATCACAAATAGGCATGAACCAGATTCCTTAATGTGGTCATCAAGTGGAAATCTGCGACTCCAGGAGATTCTGAACCGAAATGTTCAACAACTCTCTTTTCTGAAGGTTGATGGATTTCAGAGCGATGTATTAACTGGGCTTTCCATCGCAGGCCTTGAGGAGCTGCATATAGACAATTGCAGGAACTTTGGCCCAGCAGAATGTCTTCACATCCTACGCCACTTGCCGGCTCTACGAATATGTGCATTTAATGAGATTACGCACAAGTCCGTCACCCTTGGAAAAGATCGCGAAAGTTGATTTACCTCACCTCAATTCCCTTATTCTCAGAAGTGACTCCATTGACATAAGCCAACGCCTTCTTGAAAAAATTGTTTGCCCTACTGGTTTATCCCTCCAGCTTGAAACAAATCGGACGCTTCGAGACATGTCAGAGCCACTGAATGCACTTTATGTATCCTTCAGAACCTTTCTAAATGAGCGTCTACCTGACCTCATTACTCAGAAGAACCTAGGTCGAAAGTTCCGTTCCTTGGTTGTCTCCAGCACAGAAACATCCTTTGGGTTTACATTCTCTTCACACCCAGATCTCGTGAAGATACCGGAACTTCAAGCTGGAGAACCTTCAAACATCACTTACCCTAATATAAATGTTTGTCCGCCATCTTGCACTTCGCAAAACGACTTTACTTTTGCACTTTGTGTCGGATATTGGTCAGAAATGGCAGACTGTAGCCTTCCTCTCGATACTTTGGGACGTCATTGGCGAGTGTTGCGAGTCTTTAGAGAGTATCACTCTTGACGTCGATTCCGGCGAACTGGAAAGTATCAGGTCTGTGGATTCAAAATATATCAGCCCTCTCCAACCTTCGCTATCTCAACATGGGGATAAAGGACGCGAAGTTAGGTCAGCTACTATTCGACGCGTTGGATGGATTTGGATTCGGGAAGTTGAAAACTTTGACGTTGAAATCGCTCAATTTCTCCGACTCATACAGGTCAAGTGAAACAGGCTTAGGCTCCAAACCGCTAGTCCCTCGAGCTACCATTAAACCACCCTCACATACCCATCCTTATATCTCTCATGGTAGTACTAGTCCACGTCTGTTTGCCTATGCTGCTCCTGAACATATGACCTCCAAACCATCCTCTCCCTACACCTACCCCACAGGTCCAGCCTTTCCATCTTTCTTCCCATTACGTCAAGGAAAATCCTTTTCAGGTCCGTTTCATCAGTCATGCACTTCTTAAAAAGTTTTTCACTGGGTGTCTGAATACACAGCCCACCCGCTTCCACCGATTTTAGCCACACGAAGTTGCAAGGGATTAGGACCAAATATTCTCGTCCTAAATGACTGTGTGGTCGGGCATTGATATGATGGCGGAGATGGCAGCAAGTGTTCCTCTGGTGTGGTTAGAGACCTGTCAAAGTACTGCTTGATTTCAAGAACGGAGCTTGTAATCCTGTAAGTCTGGATTTTAATACGGAAAGCTTCAGACAGACACATTTTCATTGATATTCGATTACTATCTATCAAGATACAACGCTATGAATCCCCAAAGTATTCCTGAACGAGAGCCTGTTTCCGAAGTGCCAATAACACATCTTCCATCTCCGCTCGAGTAGGGAGTTTCGGCTGTAAGAGATCTTCGGGCGACAAAAACGAAATATATGCAGCGGCTGCCTGAACTGCAGGCTGGGACGAATCGTGTTCAACGGATGTGGAAGCACTTGACCCTATCTTTGTTCGTTTAGACTCAGAGTCTGGGGGATCCATACTTTCGTCTTCGACCGCCTTTCGTTTGCTTTTGGCCGTTGATGGTGTAATGGATGGTGCAGAGGGGCTGGTAGATGTAGATCCAGGGCGAGGTGGAACTTCAGTATCTTCTGGTAAACCAAGTGTCTCACAGGTTGCCGACCAAACCTCTTCGTATGCTATGAAGTCATGAGTGATTAGAAAATGTAAGCGTAACAAAAGCCAACGAACCTTCCTTCTCGGCCACATTCTCGTTCTTCAAAATTTGAGGATCTTTTTCGTCAATGTCCCCAAAGTAAGAGGGTCCTTGATTTAAGAATTTCTTGTAAAAGGCCAGTGCTTGATTCTCCTCGTCTTCTTCCTTCTTCCGGCTTTGGAATAGTTCACGCACACCCGGAAGATCCTTCGCTCGACCAAAGTATCTAATATTCATTGGTACAATTCTTACACATTTGATAAAGATATGGAACTCACTTGTATCCCTTCGTCCCAGGAACCTCCTTCCCATCGTCATCAAGCATGGCGACATTCCGCCGGTAGTTTGCACCTCCAAGAGCAATAATTTGGTTCTCCCAATGACGCTTCTCTCGCAAGAGTTTATTGATTTCATCGTTCAAGTCCCGCACTTCATAGTCAGTCATCCCAGCTAAGAGTCAAAAGCATTAGTTTAATAAACCAGCGACCATAAGATTTAACAAACCATCCTGGATTTTTGACACCTTCCTACTTATTTCTCGTAGAATTTCACCTCTCCAGCGTTCACATTCACGCATACTTTTACAGGCACTAGCCATCCTTGGACGACGGTCCGCTCGTGTTCCCAGTCCAAGTTCGGCGGCCTGCGCCTCTCGAAAACGGTAGAGCATAGACTGCGCCTTCTCTTCATTACGAGCCTAGAGAGGGGGTTGAGAAAAAAGGAGGAAGAGGAAGAATGTTGAGTGCGTGGAGCTAACCATGATGAAGGCAAGAGTAAGGAGGGATCGGCGCTTCTGAGACGCGTCTGACTTACTTGATTCCTTCTGCGATGTCCTCCGAAGAACAAGAAGGTCACAAGCTTTTTTACATTGTTTGCTCTTGCTATCTGTAATATTCTCCCAGAAAATGCTCATTTTGCCTCGGTCGTCGCCACTTTCAAGGATTATGCCCGTTACTCCGTATGTATTATTATTTTGAGACAGAGCGATTGACTGAACTCACGTTGTTCGCCAAGCTAAGCACTAACAATCGGTAAATCAGCATTCATGAATTGTGTTCATATAATGTGCAATCACCTCTTACGGTTATTGAAGCCGCCGAAAGGATATCTATTCACTCTCGCGGGCTGATCAAGAGCTCATCTCCAAACTGACCTACAAGTCAAAACTCGACCAAGTCGACGAAGCAATTCAAGCCAATGCCAACTTCTTGAAGAATATTGTCGCGAGTCCTGATATTTTTGGGCCCGATGACGAGCTAGACGACCAGGGAGAGGGTATATATCCCAATGAATATCATGTTCTTCTTCTCATTCGTATGATCATATCACGCCAGGACACTCTCACTCACATGATCACGATGCGACGGGACATTCTCATTCGCATGATCACGGCCACTCTCATTCCCACGGCCCTCGTACTAGCGAGTTCAACATGGACAAACTTCGCAGCACCCTCAAACAGCTTGTGCGAGACTGGAGTGAAGAGGTCATCATCATCTCATGTATCATGTTTTTTTGCTTTATAGAGACTCAATTGCCTTCGTAGGGTGCCTCTGAACGAGAAAAATGCTACGAACCCCTAATTCACGGCTTACTCTCTCATTTCTCAGATATCCCTCCAGCCGAACGAAGAAACTTCAGAGTTCTAGTTCCCGGAGCAGGTCTTGGCAGACTTGCATTCGACATTGCAAAACTTGGTTGACTCAGCATTTTCTCTCGTATACCTTGCTATTTGTTTACTCTTGCATCCAGGTTTTGCGTGCCAGGGCAACGAATTTTCCCATTACATGCTCCTTGCATCGTATTTCATGCTGAACAAGTAGGCAATTTATTTATAGGCGATTCCTTTCCCTTGGCTTATTTTTCTTACGAGGACGAAGCAAGTCAATGAGTTCACCATTTATCCATACATCCATTCCTTTTCAAATATCGACACCAAGTCCTCCATGCTTCGGCCGATTACTATTCCTGACGTTTTACCTTCTGACTTGCCAAAGGCTCCAACTTCTCACTCGTGGCAGGTGAACTAATTGAAAGTAGGCCTCATTTCACGAGCTAATTTTTGGGGTGCAGGTGACTTCGAGGAAATATATGGAGGCGATCCTGACCCAGACGAACCTCAATCTGGCTTGTGGGATGCGGTCTTGACTTGTTTTTTTATTGATACCGTAGGTTTACAATCCTTTATACTATCTGAATTCATCTCTAAGTTTTGTGATTAGGCGAAGAATATAGTCAACTATCTCCGGATAATCCACAAAATTCTCGCA